AAAAAAAAAAAAAAAAACTATGCGAAAAAGTAGTATTTGTAACGTACGGATGATAAGCACCCCACCTAATGGGGCCTCTGAGCAATAAAGGCACATGGAGATGGCCCATTTGAAGAACATTAGTTAGTGGGTTATTAGTGGCCTTATCTCATCTTTGGATGGTGATGGAACCTTCAACTTTAGCTTCTTTTCATTTAAGTGTAGTGACAAAGATTAGTGTTTGAATTATTTTTTAATTGTCACAAAACAACTCTAATACTTTAGTAAAGAGAAGATCATTGTCTTGGATTATAAATTAAAAATATCTCAGATTTTGGTGTCTGGTGTTATAACAACAATCAAGATTCTTTTTTTACTAGTTCAACGGTAAAAAATGTCTGAACTAATTTACGCGTGTCTTGACTAATCTATTTTTTTAGTTCAGTTAAAGATAGATTATCTACGTTGAGAAGAGAGTATGTATGAGGGATAAATCACTCATCCCCTCGTAACGTGGCCCCAAATGTTTGTCAAGATTTAAATTCAGGACATATGAATTTACAATTTGTTCCTATTACAACTTGAGTTACCCCTTGAGATTACAACGATCAAGATTCCTCTGATGCCATGGAGCACTTTTGTATCGTAAATTTCACTCAAAATGAAATTAGTCGCTTGCTTCTTGAATAGTGCGGTCTTAAAGGTTCAAATTAGCAAGCTCAAATTGGTTAAATTAGTGGCCAAAACTCAAAAGATCACCATATTGCAGATGGTACGAATATCATAAACAGTGTGGGACATGAATTTTGTGTGAAAAAAAAAAAATATTATGTCACTTTTGTGAATGTGACATCAGAGTATGAAGTCAAAATTAGGGGTTAATTATAATAGGAGTCCCCGAAGTGTACAATTTGTCTTATTTTGATCCCAAATATTTAATTGTATAATTTTAATTCTTGAAATATTAAATATATTTCTATGTGATTTTTTAAGCATACAACATCTTAATTGTTAACGATTTTTTATTATAAACTTGTCACATGATATCAAAATATGGGCAAAAAATAATTTGGATAATTCTTGACTAAAATTTGGGTAGCTCTTGACAAAAAAATGTGTAATATAGGTAGCTTTTGACCAAAATTTAAATAATTCATAATCAAAACTGTGTAATTTGAACAATTTTTTTTAATCAAAATTTGGTAAAAATTTTGGTCAAAAGTTATTTAAATTATATTTTTTTTTGCCTATATTTAGATATTATGTGATTAATTTATAATAAAAAATTATTCGTAATCTCGACACTGTCTGCTTGAAGAGTCACGTAAAAATATATTCAATACTTTAAGAATCAAAATGATGTAATTGAAATATTTGAGACTAAAATGAGATAAATCACATATTTTTTGGAATCTTTAGTGCAATTAAACTTAAAATTAATTAAAAAATTGAATTGGTTAAATTAGTGTACAAAACTTGAAAGATTTGAGAAATACAAAAGATCATGCTGTCGTAGAAAATAGAAACATCATAATCATTTATATTCAGTGTGTGAAAGTCAAAAGAATTAGAACAAGAAAGGGGAAAAAACGTTTATTTGAGCACCATCCAGAAAAGTTAATGGTAAAATATACTATAATTAGCTTAATCGTTCTATATGGGTAGAAAGGTAAAGAATTTTCTTACTCTCCCACTAAGTTAATATTGACCAAGGGAAAGGACAAAGTGATTTCGTTTGTTCCTCCAAACATCTTTAATAATCACGAAAACTTACTTTACATAGCAGCACTGGTAATGAAATTTTTGGGATAGCCCTAAAATGAACAAGTCGTATCTCACAAAGCCATGGGGTAAGGCTTTTGTTGTTTAGTTTGCTTTGATTTGATATCTTACAAAGCTTTAGCAGTTCTCATTGGCTAACATGACGGAATATTATCTAACACAACCAACTATTTCCTAATAATAAGTTTAAAGATTCTTGTAATCCTAGTTTGGATACGATGGTTAATTTATGATTGCGAATCATATTGGTTTTGAGATGTGCTATTTTATTATTGTGGTATTATCTACAATGGTGTTTCTCATGAATGATTCAACTTCCGAGTGTTGGCACAGACACAAAATCTGAAAGATAGAATCAGAAAATAATAAAGTGTACTTATGACATAATAAATAAGAAATCAATCGCTATTTCATATCGATTGATACAGTTTTATGTACTAGTTTAGAAAATATTAATTTATCGACATGAGACAAACTCCAAGAAAACTACAAAAAAATAATAATAATAATAAAGTCTTACTTTACAAAGATTAGGTTCTTGCCAACATCTCAAGAGATTGATGTAGATGAAGTGGGGTATTATAAGCACAAGAAAACAAGAAATCTATTGAATAGAGCATTGTTTTTTGCCATGAATTTTTAGTGGAAATCCNATGCCTAATGGTGTAAGAGCAAACAAGAAAGATGCAAATGTTATTGAGATTGGCAGGCCTTTCAGTCCTGCCATGTTTGGAAGTGTTCTGAAAAAATTTACTCCTCATGTATCTAGTACCATCTCAGGGAGGCCAAGGTATGTTTTTTATTTTTATTTTTTTTGCATCTGTCCTTTTATCTTCTGATTATTTATTTATTTATTTTTTTCTTCGTAANCTTCGTTTGAGCACTAGAAGACATAAATGCCTCCCAAGTATGAAATTGCCAATGCGTGCATCATTTTTTTTTTTGACGGTTAAGGGTGTCCAAGACAAATAATTATTGAATGTAACGGTGACAGTATGTCATCATTAAGGATATAGTATAATTAATTAATAATAAAACTCCAAAATAAGTAAGGTGAACCTTACTTTGATTTACATGAAAGAAGAGTGGAGAATTATTTGATAACATGACAGGTTAGTTATTAATTTTTATGGGGGTTTATTTGTTTATTTGTTTTATAATATTATTAATTGATGATACCACATCACTTTACCATATGGTATTATCGGTATAATAAATATTTTCTCGTCCAAGATAGCTTATGCGTATCTCGATTAATTTTTTTCTCGATTTGATCAAAGACATGTCATTTACGCCAAAATTTGGGTATTTATAAGGAATAAATCTTTCATGACCAGACTCTAAAAGATTATCAAGAATCAAACTCAAGACATTTAAATTTACAACTCGTCCCCGTCGGGTCAAAGTGTTAGATGCTTGAAGTCCTTTACTATGCTGGGAAACTTGGTCGCACACTCAAAAAAAAAAAAAAAAAAAATATTTTAGGAAGAAATTTTTAAATTTATCCACACAGTTGATGATGGGGGCCAAGCCCAATGTGGGTGGGCCTAGTCGTCGTACTATCTCATTTTTACCTTTTTTTTTTGGTCAGCATTTATACATATTGAATGACATATTTTCTAGATAGCTCTGATTGGGGCAATTTGCATGATCATAATGGTGTTTTTGTTTAATAACTAATCAATACAGACACTCAACGATCACAAAAATCTATCTCTCGTTTCACGAATTTGTCGTAATAACTAAACTCTAGCCGTAAATATTTATTTTGTTGTGCTATTCTGCTAGAATTTTTTTAGTGAGCTAAATATTTATTTGGATAAATTATACTTACACTCCCAGAACTATCAGCCCTTTCTCTATTTTTGTCATCTCAATTACTAGATTTTTCACATTATTCCCTCAACTATTAAATTACTTCAATTATTAATGCCTGTTACATATTTAATGAAAATTTATTTCATTTTATCCCTTAAACTACGTATTTTTCTTTTACTTTATTCCAACACGTCACTGATTTACGTCTATAAAGAGATAACAGACGTTTACAATTGGGAAAATGTGAAACAAAACTATTAGTTTGTGGTGCAATGTGAGAAATCTGATAGTAGAGTGGGAAATTGGAAAAAGGGTGATAGTTAAGGGGTGTAAGTGTAATTTACTCTATTTATTTCTTTTGGGCAACTATGGTATAAGAAACTTTATCGAACGGCATAAATGGTATGTGATTATAGTTCTGGGCAATTAAGAGATTGGACTGGGCTTTGATGCGGCCTTGTAGATATCTGCGCGTGTGAGCTAATACGTGTCCAACTCGCTTCGGTTTTGAAAATTTGAATTCCGAAATTTCCCTCTCCCCCTCACAGCACAACCAAGGTGTTTGTGAAAATGCCCCACAGAAACTCTTCCAACAAAGAGCCGTCCTCCATCATTCTCCGAAGATCTCCGAGGTTTCTCCAATCAAATCAAACCGATCCCAAAGGTTGTCAGACTCCTAAAGCCGAACCAAAGGGTATTCGGTTCCCTTATTTGGATCCTCCTTTTCTCAGCTCAACACCGAAGGTTTTTTCGAAGAAAACTCCCAGGTATAACCAAGTAGAAATTTCAAACAAGTCGATTGAATCAGATAAAGGGTCAAAAATTTCTGGGATACTGAATACTGGGCGGAGAAGATCTACGAGACTGAGTGCTGGGATTGAGGGATTTAGTTGTCTCAGACGGTCTTCAAGATTTTCTGAGAAAGGCAATATTGCTGGATGTATCGAAAAGATTGGTCCTGATAAGTCCAAGCAAGATGCTTCATCAGATGTGAGTAAATCTGGAATGAGCATCCACTCGCATAGGCAATTTACGGGTGGTATTGAAAAAAGGGTGACACGTAGTTCTAAACGGGGAAAAAACAATGAATATGCTGGGGCAATTGACAGTGGTAAGTGTAATGGATTTAGTGATGAATCAGATAAAAACAGAGCTAAAGTGGGTGTCATACCATTGAAACATAAAGCGAAACTCGGTGCCAATTTGTCCAAACAACTTACGGGTAAGTCGAAAAAGAGATTGACTCGTAGGTCTTACGGGGAAGACAATGAAAATAATGGAAGAGAACAGGTTGGGGTTAAGAGGAAGAGAAATGAATTTGAGGAAAGTAATGGGACTGTTAAAGGGTGGACTCTGGATCAAGAATTGACATTGCAGAGAGCTTATTTTGCAGTGAAGCCCACACCCCACTTCTGGACGAAAGTTGCTAGACTGGTAACATATTCTTTGGTTCTTGATATGTATTGATTTATGTGTGTTTTATATATGTTATACAGTTCATAAAACAAAAAGAATAAGGTTATAGGATAAGTAGAGCATATGATCAGTATATTTTTTTCCCTTTCTTTCATTATGATAAGTAGCATTACTACTTGCTGTGTAAGTCTTGTGCAATCTCTTGGTTTCAAATATCAAATAGAATTTCTAGATTTTTGCAAACCTGCAGAATTACACATGACCTCATTTAGAGGATNCACGCATAGAGCATATGATCAGTATATTTTTTTCCCTTTCTTTCATTATGATAAGTAGCATTANTAAGTAGAGCATATGATCAGTATATTTTTTTCCCTTTCTTTCATTATGATAAGTAGCATTACTACTTGCTGTGTAAGTCTTGTGCAATCTCTTGGTTTCAAATATCAAATAGAATTTCTAGATTTTTGCAAACCTGCAGAATTACACATGACCTCATTTAGAGGATTACCTCTCGGAATATTAATAGATGCATGAAAGCTGCAGTGGCTTATTTGTGTTGGCAAACATATGGCATGGTCTGAAAAGGTTAAGGTGTTATTAAGGAAAGTGAAGTAATAACACTTTGGATAAAAAAAATCAAAATGGTAATACGGCTCCATATAATTGTACTGTTTTTTTGAACTAGATTATCAGAAATCTGTATAGTGTTGGTAATATTTACNTATCAGAAACACTTTTGAACTAGATTATCAGAAATCTGTATAGTGTTGGTAATATTTACTGGATCTTTGNAAAAAAAATCAAAATGGTAATACGGCTCCATATAATTGTACTGTTTTTTTGAACTAGATTATCAGAAATCTGTATAGTGTTGGTAATATTTACTGGATCTTTGGGGAGGAGGGTTGGGGGAATAGTTAGATTTGAAACTTGTAACTTCTGAGATGGCAAAAGAGGTCGTGACTATTTTGTAGCTATAGTGGGCTTGACCCTTGGACAAAGCAAAATGGAAATGTAGGATGCCACAAATAATTGCCACAATTCAGCTAAGTTAAGTGAGCATGATGCATATCCTCAGTGTTACATAATATGTTGGGTCCCCTTCATGTTTATGAATGGACAAAGCAAAGATGTTGAGGTGGACAAGGAATATTATTAGCCAAACGAATGCATACAAAGAGACGAATGAGAGGGTCAGAGTAATTCAGAGCAAAAAGGATGGCGGAAAGTGGATCGCGTGAAAAGCAATGACAATTAGAAAGAGACCTGGGCAATGTAATTATTGTTGAGATAGGGTAATGGCAGTCAAAAAGATGAAGGAATGTGGTTACAAAATAGCTTATTTTTTCTCAGTAAGCACAAGTAGTCTTCTTGACAATAAACTTATTGTATTATGAAAACTAAACAAGGAGAACTAAGGAATTTCAATCTGGAATGAGAAAATGATTCTTCTTACAGTTCAACCTACATAGGATCTAATGAGTGCTTCTCATAAAGAAATTTGACAAGCTGTAGGCAAGAAGGTACATTTTTCTTCTAATTTTTATGCTTCAAAATTAAACCTCCTTTACTTCATTCTTCCTCTTTTTCCATATTTTGTGTTCGGGTCAAGTCATATTGGCCACATGTATAATGCTTATTTCAACCATAGTTGCTATGTAAGATTCATTAGTGAATATTACTGGCTGTATATATCAGATAGAAATTTTTACATCAGACCATAAGGTGAACATTGTGACCTTATGTTGCCATTGCAAAATCTGCTGCAGGTGCCAGGAAAATCTGCACAGGACTGTTTCGATAAAATCCATTCTGATCATTTGACCGCACTTCAACCTCGTTCAAGGACAAAAAAAACAAAGTCATCATCCCTCTCTCCCTCTGCAAGTAAATTGCTTGATTGTACAGAGTATAAGATTAAAAAGGCGAGGTACAGTAAGTGGAAAATTCATCTTGCACAGAAAACAGTGAGAGAACTACTACAAAAGCAGTGTCAGTCGAACCAAGATTATGAAGCAGACCTCTTCTCTGTTCTTGAGCCCACAATAAATCCATCTGTTGGAGTTTTTCAGCAGGGTATAGCACTTTGCACCCCAGAACGTGACCTACAGAAACCTGGACTTAAACGATGCCAAGGGAGATCTTCTTCAGCCCATAAGAAGCACCTCTCAAGGTTCAGTGGGTCAAGTGGAGCCACTCTTGTCAGTCCCCCAATTTTGAAGCAGATTAAGAACAAGGCCTTGCATGAGAAGTATATTGACCTTTTACATTGCAGGGAAGCTAAAAGAAAAGCTGCAGTTGCAAGGGCAGCAAAATCTCAAGGACAAGAAAATAGAAATGAAAGTCATGTTCAGAAAATGGATGCAACTAAAGCTGCAAAAAATGCTCTTGTTTTTGATGCTACAGATGCGATTAATCAATTCCGACATTTGCAGGCCAACACCATTAGCAACTTCCTTGACTCTGATCACGATGAGATTGATGATGATGAGGATGAAGGTGAGGACTAACCTTCATAAAATGTAGGACTATATGTTCAGAATTAGCTGTGCATTATTCTACTAGAATTGCATCTGTAGATGCCGACTATGGGTCCTGTAGTCCAGTAATGACGTACTTTTAAGAATACTGACTCTGTAAAATCCTACTTTCTGTGCAGTGTGAATATAAATCTGAGCCTGCTTTTGGCAGTATTATTCTTGTCTAACTAGGAGCTGTGGCACATGTGATGTGTGTCACGCGTGCACTAGATAATTATATTACAAAAGTCAAATGATTAGAATGCACTAGTATGAGGGAGAGATTAGAGAGAGAGGTGGGACGGGAAATGGACAGAGAGGGGAATCAGGGGAGTGAGAGGGATCAGGACGTTTCATTGTGATTGACTGTTAGATAGCTTAGGTTGCTTGAATTTATATTTTACCCCTTCGTTCCATAGAGTCTGGCAAGATAATGGTTTTATCTTTCGCAATTACCTTTATGTTCAGGGAAAATGATGACTTTTTAAGACAGATCGAGGTAGAGACAAACCCTGTCTCTTTATTGATAGATGGCAATAGATGTGGGGGCTGCTAAGTTGTTATTTTTAGTGCTTTGTTTAAGCATGTTAATGGTGGTTGATCCAATGAGACTAGGGATGGCTTAGTAGAAAGGGATCCATCCAACCCGATCGGTGGTGCGGGTTCGAGTCTCTCCTCCCACCCCTAAGTGTCTACTCCTTAACAAAAAAAGGAGAAACAAAAAAATTAAATTTGGTTAATCCCTGCTTAGGAACTTGAAATTGGCACTTGCATGATCAACATTGAACTGGGAATGCAATGTAGCTTAATTTGGAGATGCTAAATTCTACCAAGTTATTTATGCCTTCTGAGATTTGTTATGGGCTTGGAGATGCATATGCAACTGTACAACGTGGGGGAAAACTGGAAAGGAANCAATGTAGCTTAATTTGGAGATGCTAAATTCTACCAAGTTATTTATGCCTTATGAGATTTATTATGGGCTTGGAGATGCATATGCAACTGTACAACGTGGGGGAAAACTGGAAAGGAACAAAAAGAAAGGGCGAGAAAGAAAGGAAGATCTGCAGTGCCAATCCAAAAACATAGTTTATCTCAATATGTTAGCCTTTGTTGCTGTGNAAAAAAAGGAAAACTGCGGTCATTCTAAGCACATAGTTTATCTCAATATGTTAGCCTTTGTTGCTGTGTTTCCTGTTCTGGCTTAGTCAATTCCTTATGCTATGTTCATAAAAGATCTTATAGTACATTTATAGAAGATTTGAGAAAAGATGTCACTAACTTCAGAGTAATCAAAATATGATAAAATCCGACACCCACGGTCCCAGTCTGAATGCTGGCATTGGTTCACGTCTATTATAGGCCTGAAGAATCACAAGACTTGGTTAAGCATACAAACAAAGGTATGTGATGAGACTTTTCTGAAATACCCTATGATAAAGACACGTGTCTTCGGTTTACTAAAACACTGTTGCTAAGATCAAGTAGCATCGGCGTACGAAATGTCCTCGCCCCCAAGGTACTGGCATATAGGATCATACATTCAGTATATTTTACAACCGACACGTGGCCTCGGTCTGATACGTACCTCGGTCGGCATACCTCCCTCGGTCTCCTGAGATGAGCCTTTCCTCGGCGCCGAGAGGTACCCCCGCCCTGGACGCCTCCTCTACTCCAGGATAAGCTACTGACGTACAGGTCATCAGTTTAGGCTAGTCTAGACTATTCATCATAACCTCGTCTTACACAAGTAATGTCAGAACATACTGGAATACAGAGGTCATAGCCAATAGGGGATGGACGCGTGGCATATGATATCACATCAAAGACAGACAAACCGCATGTTGTTGCTGACACGCGCTTTGGGAAAGCAAACAATTAATTGCACCATTCCCTTGATGAGACCGCATTCAATGCGGTAAGGCTCGGAAATGAAAGACAATAAATGCTCTTGTTACAGAGCATTTATTGCATCCTCCCCGAGAGGAGCACATTGTACCGTCGGCATCCCGATGAACCAGTATTGATTGCTCGGGACCCCGAGCAGTTAATTAGAGAAGACATTCCTCATCAGAATCAATGCACACGCAACCTGCACCTAATGATCACCTACTGACCACACTGACAGCAATCATGAGCTATTAAGGTATAAATACTCCTTGCAAAAGGCAAGACTGGTATGCAATCACAAACTCTCTACTACAATCTATTTTTCTCAGTGTTTTCTCCTTCCTCTCTCTCACTCAAAGACTGACTAGACCGTCGGAGGGGATACGCCGAAAAACATTCCGGCGCCCTTCTAACTTGTTCTTCTTTGTTCCAGGATCCTCTTTCAGCCTTACTGGATCGTCCTCCCTCTCACCCAGGGTCTCCCGTTGCCGTTCCAGGTTACCACCGGACCTCGNTGATAGGACTTTTCTGAAATGCACCATGATGAAGACACGTATCCTCGGTATTACCAAAATACTGTTGCTAAGATCGAGCACCATCGGCGCACAAAGGTCCTCGCCCCTGAGGTACTCGTCATATTGGATCATGCGTTCAGTATGTTTTATAACCGACACGTGGCCTCGGTCTGATATGGTACCTCAGTCGGCATACCTCCCTCGGTTCCGAGATAAGCCTTTCCTCGGTGCCGAGAGGTACCCCGTCCTGGACGCTTCCTCTACTCTAGGATAAGCTATTGACGTACATGTCATTAGCCTAGGCTAGTCTAGGCTATTCATCATGACCTCGTCTTACACAATTAGTGTCAGAACGTACTGGAATGCAGGGGCCACAGCCAATGGGGGATGGACGCGTGGCATATGATATCACATCGAAGACAGAGANGGCAGGGGTCACAGTCAATAGGGGATGGACGCGTGACGTATGATATCACATCGAAGACAGAGAAACCGCATGCCGTTGCTGACACGCGACTTGGGAAAGCAAACGATTAATTACACCATTCCCTTGATGAGACCGCATTCAATGCGGTAAGGCTCGGAAATGAAAGGCAATAAATGCTCCTAATACAGAGCATTTATTGCATCCTCCCCGAGAGGAGTACATTGTACCGTCGGCATCCCGATGACCCAGCATTGATTGCTCGGGACCCCGAGCAGTTAAGAAGAGAAGACATTCCTCATCAGAATCAGTGCGCACACTGCCTGTACCTAATGATCACCTACTGACTACACTGACAGCAATCATGAGCTTTTGAGGTATAAATACTCCTTGCAAAAGGCAAGACGGGTATGCAACAAAAAACTCTTTACTACAATACACACTCAGTGTTTTCTCCTTCCTCTCTCTTTCTCAAAGACTGACTAGATCGTCGGAGGGGATACGCCGGAAAACACTCCGGCGCCCTTCTAACTTGTTCTTCTTTGTTCCAGGAACCTCTTTCAGCCTTACTGGATCGTTCTTCCGCTCCCCCAGGGTCTCCCGTTGCCGTTCCAGGTTACCACCGGACCTCGCAGGCTGTTCCAAGCAGCGTGGTTGGTCACTCAACTGGCTCACTCGAGTTCACCAAGGGAGAGATCTGTTCTCGTTTTTTATATTGTGCAGGATCTTGCACGCACAATCTGGCGCCGTCTGTGGGAAACGACTAGTTTTCCTAGTTTTTTCTCTATAAAGAACAGTGACCATGGTGAACACTCGACAGAAAGGGAAAGGCCCCCACCAAAGGAGTCTCGAGTTACAAGCTCCCTGTCATCACGGAGGAAGGGATCACACCGATATGAATAAAAGTGCCTCTACTCGGTCAAGAGGGGTTACCCCTCAAACCAGTATGGGAATCAGGTCAGGGGGATCAGCCCCCTTGGCTCGTCAGCTGGCGGAGGTGATTGAAGAAAAGTTTGGCGATAGATTACGACAGCTGGAAAAGGACAATGTAAACGTCCTAAGCCGGCTCAACGAGTTTGCCGCCTCTGGCGAAGGGTCGAGGGATTCATTCCTTTCTCGTGGGCTTCCCGCCCGGGAGGCGGAAACGAAGGATCTAAGAAACCACCTAAACAACAAAGCAGAAAGCTCTAGGGCCCCAAAGCGACCCAGAGCCAGCGAGCATCATCATGACGACCATTCAAGGAAGGCAAGGCCATTGGCCCTGGACGACCTCCGGCGAGGTTTGTCTAGACGGAGGAAGGGAGATGAATCCGAGGAGGACTCAACCCAATCCACACGACGCCCAGGAAATGAGGGGCTTACCGATGAACTCAAGGACTTCAGAAGGCATCCCGTCAGGGAAGAAATTGATCTCAGAGCCCGGTTAGACTCCAGGAGAAAGGGTAAGGCTGTCCAGGATGAGGCCGAGGACGAAGTCATACAAACACCCTTTACGAGGGAGATCGGTGAGATGGAGGTTTCAAGAAAGTTTGTCGTGCCGCGGTTCAAAACTTATGACGGGCGGTCCGATCCCGAAGCCCATGTCAGGCAATACAAGCAGATGATGTCCCTCTATCATTCGGACCAACGGTTTCTCTGCCGAGTGTTTCCTATGAGCTTGGGGGACTCTGCGATGAAATGGTTCTAGACGCTTCACCCAAACAGTATTGGGTCCTGGAAGGAATTGACTAGACAGTTCCTGGCTCGATTCATTACGGGGAGTAAGCGCCCCAAAGACATTGGATCATTGTTGACCCTCAGACGGAGGGAATCCGAGACTCTTCGCCAGTACGCCATCTGGTACTGGGAGGAGGTCAATGAGGTAGAAGGCTGCTCGGAGGTCATGGCAGTAGCATCTTTCCGGCTCGGCTTGGCAAGGGACACGGACCTGTACCGATCCCTGACCAAGAAGACTCCCTCGGATATGGGGGAACTAATGGCCCGGATAAACAAANGACTCTTCGCCAGTACGCCATCCGATACTAGGAAGAGGTTAATGAGGTGGAAGGCTGCTCGGAGGTCATGACAGCAGCATCTTTCCGGCTCAGCTTGGCGAGGGACACGGACCTGTACCGATCCCTGACCAAGAAGACCCCCTCGGATATGGGGGAACTAATGNAGGTCAATGAGGTAGAAGGCTGCTCGGAGGTCATGGCAGTAGCATCTTTCCGGCTCAGCTTGGCGAGGGACACGGACCTGTACCGATCCCTGACCAAGAAGACTCTCTCGAATATGGGGGAACTGATGGCTCGGATCAACAAGTACTCGAGGGTCG